CTGAAAAAAAAATTGTGAGTGCAATCAGCTACCATGTGAAGACAATTTACTCACAATAAAAAAACTGCATTCATTAGTTGCTGCATCGACCATTCGATCCGAATTGGAAACTGAAGAGAAAAAAAACAACAACAGCAAAACTTTAAACAAATAAATGTCAATAACTCAATTGTTGCGTGCGTTAAATGGAATTATCATCAATCAATCAGTCAGTTATTCAGTCACCACTACAGAAATACTTTGGCGGAGTGTGAGAAAGGAGGAGAACTAATTACAGTAGTCGGCACAAAAATATTCCTGAAAAATAACACACTTCTGTTCTGATGGTCCTTTAAGAAATACTTTTAAAAATGGGTTCATAAAAAATATACGCTTATGACACTGAACATATTGTGTAATAATAAATATTTGCTCTGATGGACCTTAAAAAATATCCCATGATCGGGGGGGTTGCTTTTGGGTCTGAGGGCCCTTAAAATAATACATTTAATAAATACTCGCATATGGTTAAGGGGGGCCTTGGAACGAATATTATTTAAAAAATTCTCTGATTTAAAAAAAAAAATATATTTTTCCAAGACCTTCGTAGCCATAAGTGGAGATTCTTCAAAGGCTCAGATGTCTCTTAACATTTTTGTAATAAATCCTCTCTCATGGCTCTGATGATCCTTTAAAAAGGTTATTCTTTAATAAATCCACGATTAAGGTCTTGATGTACTTCGAAGCCCTTTATAATATATTCTCTAATAAATCCATGAAACTCGAAATCGTTTGAAAAAAAAAATGCCGATCCCTGCATATATCAATTTCAATTAATATTTTTCATAATTTTTTTTTCTATTTCAAGTTATGACACATATGAATTCACATACCATAGTTTTGAATGCAAAAAATATTAATTTTTATTTGTTTAGGTGGCTTTGCTCTGAAGAAGAAGAAGAAGCGGAGAAGAATTTCATATTTAATTAAATATGTTGTTTTTGTTTTCATCTATTTGACAAAACACATTTTAGTTAGTCTGCATTGTTGTATTGACTAGTTATTGGCGGAACGAACATATGGACTGATGATAATGAATGTGCAACTTTGTTGTCGATGGAGATTACAAAGCAAATAAAAAAATAAAATAAAGTGCAGTTTCAATGTCGAATATTTGAAAACAAACTGCTGAACATATGCGATTTTACGCTACACGTTCTTGACATGAAATTATTTCTTTAAAAAAATCTATGCCTGTCATGGGTCCTTAAATTTTTTTCTTAAAAAAAAAATCCACTTTTGTCATTGGTCTTTAAAATTTTTTCTTAAACAAAAACTTTAAGGACTGTCATTGGACCTTATTTTTTTCTTAAAAATAAACTTTAAGGACTGTCATTGGTCTTTAAAATTTTTTCTTAAACAAAAACTTTAAGGACTGTCATTGGACCCTAATTTTTTCTTAAAAATAAACTTTAAGAACTGTCATTGGTCCTTAAAATTTTTTTCTTAAAAAAACTTTAAGGACTGTCATTGGTCCTTAAAATTTTTTCCTAAAAAAACTTTAAGGTCTGTCATTGGTCCTTAAATTTTTTTCTTGAAACAAAATCCACACCTGTCATAGGTCCTTAAGATTTTTTTTTGAAAAAAAATTCACGCCTGTCATTGGTCCTTAAAATTTTTTCTTGAAAAAAAAATTCAAGCCTGTCATTCGTCCTTAAATGTTTTTCTTGAAAAAAAAATCCACATCTGTCATTTGTCCTTAAATTTTTTTCTTGAAAAAAATCCTCGTATGTCATTGGTCCTTAAAATTTTTTCTTGAAAAAAAAAAAATTCACACCTGTCATAGGTCCTTAAATTTTTTTTAAACCACGCCTTTCATGGATCCTTAATATTGTTTCTTTAAAAAATCCACTCCAGTCATGGGTCCTTAAAATTTTGTCTTTAACAAATCCACGCCTGTCATGGGTCCTTAAAATTTTGTCTTTAACAAATCCACGCCTGTCATGGGTCCTTAAAATTTTGTCTTTAAAAAATCCACGCCTGTCATGGGTCCTTAAAATTTGTTCTTTAAAAAATCCACGCCTGTCATAGGTCCTTAAAATTTGTTCTTTAAAAAATCCACGCCTGTCATAGGTCCTTAAAATTTGTTCTTTAAAAAATCCACGCCTGTCATGGGTCCTTAAAATTTGTTCTTTAAAAAATCCACGCCTGTCATGGGTCCTTAAAATTTGTTCTTTAAAAAATCCACGCCTGTCATGGGTCCTTAAAATTTGTTCTTTAAAAAATCCACGCCTGTCATGGGTCCTTAAAATTTGTTCTTTAAAAAATCCACGCCTGTCATGGGTCCTTAAAATTTGTTCTTTAAAAAATCCACGCCTGTCATGGGTCCTTAAAATTTGTTCTTTAAAAAATCCACGCCTGTCATGGGTCCTTAAAATTTGTTCTTTAAAAAATCCACGCCTGTCATGGGTCCTTAAAAATTTGTCTTTGACAAATCCAGTCATGGGTCCTTAAAATTGTTTTTTTTTTTAATCCACGCCTGTCATGGGTCCTTAAAATTCTTTCTTTAAAAAATCCACGCCTGTCATAGGTCCTTAAAATTTTGTCTTTAACAAATCCACGCCTGTCATAGGTCCTTAAAATTTGTTCTTTAAAAAATCCACGCCTGTCATGGGTCCTTAAAAATTTGTCTTTGACAAATCCACGCCTGTCATGGGTCCTTAAAATTTTAAAATTCTTTCTTTAAAAAATCCACGCCTGTCATGGGTCCTTAAAATTGTTTTTTTTAATCCACGCCTGTCATGGGTCCTTAAAAATTTGTCTTTGACAAATCCACGCCTGTCATGGGTCCTTAAAATTTTAAAATTCTTTCTTTAAAAATCCACGCCTGTCATGGGTCCTTAAAATTGTTTTTTTTAATCCACGCCTGTCATGGGTCCTTAAAATTGTTTTTTTTAATCCACGCCTGTCATGGGTCCTTAAAATTGTTTTTTTAATCCACGCCTGTCATGGGTCCTTAAAATTGTTTTTTTTTAATCCACGCCTGTCATGGGTCCTTAAAATTGTTTTTTTAATCCACGCCTGTCATGGGTCCTTAAAATTGTTTTTTTTAATCCACGCCTGTCATGGGTCCTTAAAATTCTTTCTTTAAAAAATCCACGCCTGTCATAGGTCCTTAAAATTTTGTCTTTAACAAATCCACGCCTGTCATAGGTCCTTAAAATTTGTTCTTTAAAAAATCCACGCCTGTCATGGGTCCTTAAAATTTTGTCTTTAAAAAGTCCACGCCTGCCATAGGTCCTTAAAATTTGTTCTTTAAAAAATCCAGATGCATCATAGGTCCTTAAAATTTGTTCTTTAAAAAATCCAGATGCATCATAGGTCCTTAAAATTGTTTGCTTTAAAAATCCACGCCTGTCATAGGCCCTAAAATTGTTTCCTTCTTAAAAAATCCACTCCTGTCATAGGTCCTTAAAATGTGTTATTTAAAAACTCCACGCCTGTCCTTACAATATGTCTATGTCTAAACCTTTAAAATATTCTTTAAATCAGTGATCGGAGCAGTATAGTCGGACGGGGCCGACTATACGATACCCTACACAACTACCACGGAACTGTAACGTTCTGCGGATGTTTATCCAAATCTGGCAATATTTTGTGATATCTACACCCTGTTGACCGATTAGAGGTCAACAGCACCTCTTCCTTACACTGACATATTTTCCGAATATTACTAATATTCTGTACAGTCCTTCTAATTACTTGTCCAGATTCCCTTCACCGTGGGTTGTGTTGTGATGTTCGGCTTTTAATTGTTACCTATAGATCGACTCGAAAAAACACAAAAATTAAGTTTTCGGTCCACTTCATCACAAAATTTATATATAATCAACACCCAAAATTAAAGGCGTTGTCCTTGACCATACCTGGATCCTCATGGAAAATTTCAAAGTAATCAGCGCTATATTTTCGCCCTCTAGTGTGGTAATGGATTACTAAATTACCAATTTCCTTCTCCATGTAAAAATTCGAGATGTTTGGGCCATAATTGCGGCCTCTGGTGCGACCAGAAAAACCGACAAAAATTAAGTATTTGGTCCATTTCATCCCCTAAATATAAACCGATATTTACTGCTGAACAACGCGATTTTACGCTACGCGTTCTTGACATGAAATTATTCTTTAAAAAAATCACGCCTGTCATAGGTCCTTAATTTTTTTTAATCCACGCCTGTCATAGGTCCTTATTTTTTTTTTAATCCACGCCTGTCGTAGGTCCTTAATTTTTTTTTTTAATCCACGCCTGTCATAGGTCCTTAATTTTTTTTTAAATCCACGCCTGTCAAAGGTCCTTAATTTTTTTTAAATACACGCCTGTCATAGATCCTTAAATTTGTTTTATTTTTTTTTATTTGGTCCATTTCATCCCCTAAATATTAACCGATCTTTACCAAAAACAATAGGAGTCTTCATTGGCCAGAACCCATCCTACATGCAAAATTTCGTGAAGATTGGTCCATAACTGTGGCCTGTATCGTGTTTAAAAATTATAATGGACAGACGGACACACATGTCCGTATCGACTCAGCTAGTCGAGATATGACGATCGGTATACTTAAAGGTGGGTGTAGGACCAATATTTCGCGGGATTACAAACTCTTGGGGCTGCACAAAGCTATAATACCCTGACAACATAGTTGTGTAGGGTATAAAAATCCACGTCTATTTTTTGATACTTGAAAAAGGCGTTTAAAAAAATACACCTTGAATGAAAATACATTTTTTTGATTGTCGTCTACATATTTTTTTTATTTTTGGATTTTTATAAATTTAAAAAAAATACTTTCGTTATATAAATAAAATTAAAAACTTGTTTAACAAAAAGAAAAACAGAAGGTGAAGATAATTATTTGACTATGCTTATGTTACAGTTAATTGTCATTAAAAATTAATTCGGGAATGAAACAAAAAGAAAAACAATTTAAATATTAAAAAAATACAGTTTTTTTTTCTTCTTCCATTTACTGATAACAATGCCACACAGCTACGCGTTCATTTAGGGGTGCCTCTTTCAGTGTCAACATTTGTTCGGCCGCCGCACCACTTAACGTTGTACCACAAGCCGGACCGCCAATTACCACCGTACCCAATACTAATTTTTTGGCCATTTTGGTTTTTGTTGCCAGTGTTGTGCGGATCATTATCCGATCTAAATGTTCCAGACTGGGCAATGGTATATTCAAAGTGGCCAACTCCTTACCCACATCCCATTTGGTGGCCAGAGAGGGATAGAAATTTGGCGATTTCCATGAATCAATATAAATGCCATTATCGAAAACGGTCGTCTTCACGTAGACACTTCCCGCCGTTACCTCCAACTCATCTTTGACTTTATTCGAACAGCGCATGCGCGAAGTGGTCACCTTAAGCATTAGCTTATGCTGTGTCTTCGTGTTGACATTACTGATGCCCATCCGTTTCTTGAAATCCGATGTCATACGATTATTCCACGATTTGGGTTCTTTGGAGGAGGTTATGGTCGAGACGCTGGTTGTGCTACCAACGGAATCACTACCATTTATATTGCTCGTCGTGGAGGCCGATATGGACGATGCGGAACTTTCGGTATTGGTGGGGTCGATGGCCTCACCCACTTCTCGTACTTCTAAAACGAGTTCTACAACACCTTTTGTAGAATTCGATAACTGCAAAAAATGAAAAACAAAAGAAAATAATTGAAATTATTTAATTGTTGTGAAAAATTATATAATTTTGGAGTTTTTTTTCATATTGCTCTTCTTTTTTAATATTTAAAAGTGAGGTAATGTTTTTTTCAACCCAGTTAAGTTTGGCATTATTTGTTTTACTACCATCTTTTTATGGTCATAACTCCCTGTTTTGTTTTCAAATTACACGAAATTGCTTTCACTTTTTTTTGGTGTTTTGGTCTGTCCAAGTTGCTGGCTAAATGTCAAGTTTAGTCAAAGGTCTTCATTGGAGAGAGAGGATGAACGGAAAACAAAAATTTAAATACAAAATACCCCATAGCCAAAATACCAACTGTCCATCCAAAATTAGTCGTATGAACTGGGTGGATTTTCGACGCCTCTATATGACACTTCAAAAATATTCTTTAAAAAAATATTTTTAGAAATATCCATGCATTGAAAAAATATTTTTAGAAATGTCCACGACTTTTTTATTTATATTTTTAAAAAAATAACCGCCTTGAAAATGTATTTTAATAAAAAATCCAAGCCTTGAAAATGTATTTTTAAAAAAATCCAAGCCTTGAAAAATAATTTTTAAAAAAATCCACGCCTTGAAAATATTTGGAAAAAACCACGCCTTGAAAAAATATTCTTTAAAAATTCACGTCTATTGGAAAAAAAATATTTTTAAAACATCCACACCTTCGCTTTGTTACAAGAGACATTTGGGTATGCAAGTTTTTTTTATAGAAGCAATAAATAGCTTCTGGGGAGAATATCCCAACAAAAAACAAAGGGAACTGATGAGGATCAGTGGCGTGATGCGAAACTATAGTTTTTCCTGCCTTACCCCTCGGCGAACAATGCCATACATTCCCACTAATAAATAGTTGCTTTATTTTATAAAAAAACTGGGATTCAGCCTGACTATTTTGCAAAAACAAAATACAAATGGTATTCCCAAACAACCCGCCAACACTACTGAAAAATCCACACCTTGAAAAAATTGTTTAAAAAAAAAAATCCACGCCTTGGGTTGGGGCCGCTAGAGTCGTCTTTCGTCTGTAGGCAGGTGAAGTTCGAAAATGGGATATATCGGTCCACGTATAGGTATAACTCCCATATAAGGGTACCCCCAATTTTTCGGTATTTTGGGGTTCTTGAGAACGTTTTTCAACCGAATTCGCTGAAATTTGCACCCGTGGGTTCTTATTGTGTTCAAAATTTCTCCACAAAAAATTATAATGTCCACTTTTTCTGGTAGCTCCCATATAACGGTACCCTCTAATTTGCAGTAATTTGGGGGTATAAAGTATATATATTATGAGTTCTTATCAGCGTAAAAAATTATTCTATGACGTATATTAATTTTGTCATTCCGTTTGTAAAACATCTATTCGTATATTTGTATAAAGTATATATATTCTTGATCAGGGTAAAATATATTGAGATACATAGATCGCCAAAAATTTTGCTAGAGTCTTTTGTCTGCAGGCCGTCAAGTTCGAAGATGAGATATATAGGTCCACGTTTAGACACAGCTCACACATAAACGTACCCCCCAATTTTCGGTATTTTGGGGTTCTTGAGCACGTTTTTCAACCGAATTCGTTGAAATTTGCTACAATGGGTTCTTATTGGGTTCAACATTACTCCACAAAAAATTATAAATATAGGTCCACTTTTTCTGGTAGCCCCCATATAACGATACCCTCTAATTTGCAGTATTTTGGGGGTTTTTATCATATTTTTCCACCGAATTGGCTGCAAATTAGTATTGTGAGTTCTTAACAGGTACCAAAACTCTCCACGAAAAATTATGAATATAGGTTCATTTTTTTCGGATATCCCCCATGTAAGGGTACCCCCCAATTTCGGTATTTTGGGGTTATTGAACGCGTTTTTAACCGAATTTGCTGCAACTTGGTATTTTGTAGTCGTATATAGTAGCAAATCTACCTAACAAAAATTATTAATATTCGCCTCCCATATAACCCCCTTTTTATACCCTTCACCACACTGTGGTACACGGTATTATGTCTTTGTGCATATGTTTGTAACAGGCAAAAGGAAACGAGATATACACATGGTTCCTTTTGAGAATATGCATAGAATCACTTTCTAAGTCGATTTATGGATGTCCGTACGTCTAACTGTCTGTCCATGTTAAATTGTAAACAAAGTACAGGTCGCATTTATGATCCGATTTGGATGAAATTTGGCATAGGTCACTCATTTGGCCCAAGGACGAACCCTGTTGAAATTGGGAAAAATCGGTTCAGATTTAGATATAGCTCCCATATATATTTTCGTCCGATTTAAGGTAAATGGTGCATCAAAGTCCCTATATATCTTTCGATTTGCACGAAATTTGGCACAACGTACTGAATTGAGCCTAGAATAATGTCTGCCAAGTTTCGTGAAAATCAGTTCAGATTCAGATATAGCTCCCATATATAGTTTCGTCCGATTTTATGTAAATGGTGCACCAAAGTCACAACATATCTCTTGATTTGCACGAAATTTGGCATATCGTACTGAACTGAACCTTGTTTCGTGAAAATCGGATTAGATTTAAATATAGCTCCCATATGTAGTTTCATTCGATTTCATATAAATGGTGCACCAAAGTCCCTATATATCCCCATATATATTTTCATCCGATTTAATGTAAATGGTGCATTTTTCGATTTGCACGAGCCTAGAATGATGTATGCGAAGTTTTGTGAAAATCGGATTAGATTTAAATATAGCTCCCATCTATAGTTTCGTCCGTTTTGCACGAAATTTGGAATAACTTACTGGATTATGCCTAGAATGACTTGCTTGAAGTTTTGTGAAAATAGGTTCAGATTTAGAAATAGCTCCCATATATATATATATATATATATATATATATATATATATTCGTCCGATTTAATGTACATGGTGCTAAAAGACCCTATATATCTTTCAATATGCACGAAATTTGGCACAGCGTAAATTTGGAGAGATGTGTGCTGAGTTTCGTGAAAATCGGTTCAGACCTATATATATATATATATATATATATCCGTAGAAATCGGTTCATATTTGGATATGGCTTCCATATATTCATAGTACTGTTTAATATACCCATAGTGGCGAAGGGTATTATATAGTCGGCCCCGTCCGACTTTACTACTTTCCTTAAAGGTTTATATTAAAATAGTTATCTGATTTGTTCCGCGTTCTAGGTTGGGTTCTAAGACTTTGTTGTAATCAATCTACCTGCGGAGGATATTGAGATAAAAATTAGAACGTGAGGTTCGAGAATGAACCATATCGGCCGCAGTTCGGTATTTTTAATATTTATCGTAAACGAAGGTATTGTGATGCAAAAATTTTAGTTTCTAAATTGAGCTATATAAGTATTCAATTAGACATAGCACCTCATATAATGGTAACTTCAAATTTTCGGTAATTCTTACATGATGTAATCAATATTTGTCCCGCTTTAGGTATCGCCTCCAGGGACGTATTCATACACATTTTTTTTCGCAATGAAAAAATTCATATTGAATCAGCAGCTTCCACCCAACCTCCCGAAATAAAACCTGTGGTGATGGTCTTATATAACTGTAACCTCTAAAATGCAGTATTTTGGGGATATTTTTACGGATATTTTTAGAAAAAATATCCGTAAAAATTTCTGAAATTTGTATTTCATTTATACCGGCAGGCATTTAGGCATCTCCTCCATATAATGATACCTTCTGAAGGTAAGGATTGAGATACATAACTAAAATATTGGGTTCGAAATTGACATATATCGGCCATTAATTAGGCATAGCCCTCATATAATGATAAGCCCAAATATTCGGTAATTCCGACACTGTGTAATCAGTATTGGTCCCCCTTTAGTCATAGCCTCATATAACTTTGCAATCTAAATTGCAGTAGTTTGAGAATTTTATACTCTACCATATGTTTTTAGTATCAGTCCACGCTTTGGTGTTTTCAGATTTTAGAAAAAATCTCCATAAAAAATTGCTCAAATTTGTATTTGGTGTACATAATGGTTTACATAAATCTGTTTGTAGAATTATTCGTATAGGTTCACTTTTTGGTATTTTCCCTATATTTTCATATCAAGTATCTGTCAGTATACCTAAGGTGGAGGGTATCCAAAGTTCGGCCCGGCCGAACATAACGCTTTTTCCACTTGTTTTAAATTCATGTATTTTTTAAAAAATATTTCTTTTAATTCACGCCTATGGTAGACGTTGAAAAATTTATGTTAAGAAATCCACGCCTCTATTAGGCCTACGTATTCAAAAATTCCAAAACCACTTACATTATTATTATTATCATTTGGTTTCTTGATGGTTGTATTTATATCCTTAATCGGCATCCATAATTCCTCAGAGGCAAATACACCGCGTGAATTGCGTTTAAATAGCTTTGGTTGTAAATAACAGGTCACGGCACCTAAAATTAATTACAAAAATCGTATTTAGAAAAAAATCTTTCTTCCTCCCCAAACCCCGCAATCCTATTTTAATATCACCCACCTAAATTTCTTCTCGATTCACTGATTGTGAGCGGTGGCATTGAATCCCTTGGATTATCCTGCGACTTTCGTTTATTTTTGGTGTTCTCCTTATCATCGTTGGTGTTGGTGGGTTTATCCGATTTCTCTTCGAAGATGTTTTGCATTAAATTGCTGCCTTTATCCTTTAGTGAACGATAGGTTTTACTAAAGCGATTAAATGACTGGAAGAGAGAAACAAAAAAATGAAGGGAGTAACAATTTATTTTCAATTGGAATTGTTGTGCAATATTAAATGTGTCGTAAATTGCAAATTTCAAATTATTTGATTTTTTGTGGCACCCAAATCGTTGTTTAGGTTACCAACCTACCGTTGGTGGTAATTCCAGCAGGGCATAAACTGTGAAAACCACAAATTGTCCAGCCAAAAGTTCTTCAGGCGTAAACTCTGCCACAGCCGCCTTGCTGCCACGACGTGATGAATGTTTCAGTGAAGGTCTGCAAGAAAACAAAAGCAAACAAAAAAATCAAATCAAATGCCTCAATTATTTCCGAAAAAATGCCTTTGACCATTATTATTATTTTTTTGTATAAAATCGTTGTAGATATTGAAATATTGAAAGTTTGAGAAAAAAATTTTTAAATACAAGTTTAGCTGTTATTTGTGGTCTTTGGGTGGTCCCTACATTATTTAATCGTTACACTTTCAATTTCAGAGATTTAAATCGATAATGTCATTGCCATTGTACAAAGTCAGTCATGCATCTTAAGGTATGGAATGGCGATACAAAGATATTCAACACAAAAAGGGAAATGATTACACAGTTGTTTACCATTTTAGATCTTAGGGTTTCGAAAGATATTTTAAATTATTATTGAAAAATCTATTTTAAAACCCACGCCTCTGTTAAGGCCTTGAAAAATCTGTTTTAAAACCCACGCCTCTGTTAGGGCCTAGAAAAATCTTTTTTTTTAATTCTTTTTTAAAACCCACGCCTCTGTTAGGGCCTTGAAAATTATTTTTTTTAAACTCAGGCCTCTGTTAAGGCCTTGAAAATTCTTTTTTAAAACCCACAACTCTGTTAGGGCATTGAAAATTAATTTTATACTCACGCCTCTGTTAAGGCCTTGAAAAATCTGTTTTAAAACCCACGCCTCTGTTAAGGCCTTGAAAATTCTTTTTTAAAACCCACACCTCTGTTAGGGCCTTGATTTTTTTTTTTACTCACGCCTCTGTTAAGGCCTTAAAAAATCTATTTTAAAACCCACGCCTCTGTTAAGGCCCTTTAAAAATCTGTTTTAAAACCCACGCCTCTGTTAAGGCCTTGAAAAATTCTTTTTTAAAACACATTAGGGCATTGAAAATTATTTTTTTTAACTCACGCCTCTGTTAAGGCCTTGAAAATTCTTTTTTAAAACCCACGCCTCTGTTAAGGCCTTGAAAATTCTTTTTTTAAAACCCACGCCTCTGTTAGGGTCTTGAAAAATCTTTTTTTTTAAACCCACGCCTCTGTTAAGGCCTATAAAAATTTGTTTTAAAACCCACGCCTCTGTTAGGGCCTTGAAAAAAAATTTTTTTTTAAACTCACGCCTCTGTTAAGGCCTTGAAAATTCTTTTTTAAACCCACGCCTCTGTTAGGGCCTTGAAAAGTCTATTTTAAAACCCACGCCTCTGTTAAGGCCTTGAAAAATCTGTTTTAAAACCCACGCCTCTGTTAGGGCCTTGAAAAATAAAACCCACGCCTCTGTTAGGGCCTTGAAAAATCTTTTTTTTTAACTCACGCCTCTGTTAAGGCCTTGAAAAATCTGGCCTTGAAAAATCTTTTTTGTTAACTCGCCTCTGTTAAGGCCTTGAAAAATCTGTTTTAAAACCCACGCCTCTGTTAGGGCCTTGAAAATTCATTTTTTTATAATCACGCCTCTATTAAGGCCTTGAAATATCTTTTTTAAAATCCACGCCTCATTTAGGCACTTTCAAAAATATTTTAAAAAAATCCACATCTCTGTTAGGCTCTTGAAAAATCCACGCCTTAGTTAGAAATATGCTTTAAAAAATCCCCGTCGTTGAAAAATATTTTTTTCTTAAAATCTAATATTTTTTATAAAGTTTTAACTCACTTGATTTCCGGTGCCAGGGGAAATTTAAAAGTTTCATTAAACTTCGGCCAGGTGTTTGTCTGTATTGTGCTGTCCATTCGCTTCGAACCGGGAAAAAGCTTTACCTATAACAAAAAAGGGTGATACAAAAAATTGTATTTATTCTCAATCCATTATATGGTTGTTGTCCATGCTAAGCGGAATACTTACTTTTATCAAGTAACCCTGTACAATTTTAAAACCAAACAATGACGGCAGATGGCGCGCTGCCAACAAATGGACATTTAATTCAGGTATGACTGTCTTTGGTGCATGAGGATCATTGGAATTTTGTGGTGAACTAGCTTCGATGGTTAATTGAAATCCGATTTCAGGTTCTAAATTTTCCGATTGTCGTTTCGCCGTGGATGATGACGATGTCAGATTTAGTGAGGGTGGTAACATGGACTTTAGTTTATTCATGTTGATGCTGTTGCTTGTGTGGAGCGTTAGCTGGCTGGTGTTGGAAAGATTATCGACGATTTTCTCACATTCACTTTGGCCGTAACATTTGGGTTAAATCTGAAAAAAAAGCAAAAAGGCAAATTGTTCAAATTTAATTAGCATTTATTAAACTTAGCAGTTTGTTGTTTTTTTATGTTATTTATTTATTTGTTTTTGTATTTATTTATGAACTTTAGGTGTTAGGTATAAATCGATCATTGCTAGAATAATTTATTCTCACAGCTGCCCGTCATATGGGACAATGTCAAGTTAATTATTTGTATTCAGGTTTTCAATAATGTTCCACATGATTGGTTGAGATTTATTTTGTGTTCAATAGAAATGTAAAATAATAAATTTTATTATTTAAAAATATAAAAAAAAAATACTTTGTTAAAAATATTATTTTTTTAATCAGAATTATTTAAAAATATTAAATATTAAATTAAAAATATCTAATTTTAAAAAATCCCTGCCTCTGTTTACTCCATATTTTTTTTAATTCAGCCCTCCGTTTAGCCACTAAAAAAATAAGTTTAAACCAGTAAGGAAAGTAGTAAAATCGGACTGGGCCGACTATATGATACCCTTCTCCACTTTGGATATATTGTACATATGATCCTTACAATTGTATGTCAATATTTCCTCAAAAGAACATACTCACGTCTTTCTGCAACCTATGATAAATTTAATTTCATTCGGGCAGATTTATAGTCGTCTGCGTACCGTGGGATACATTTATGGAAAACGATTTATAGCAAAATTGATACACGCTATTCGGTACGCCGCAATGTCTAATTTCAAAATTTAATTTTAATCAGACACCCGTTTGAAATACATATGGAAGCTATGGCTGGATCTTCACCAAATTCAACAAAACCCAATAACGTCATTCACGTCTCAATTCAATTTCGTGTTAATCGGACAAAAATTAGGAGTTTGGTGCACCATTTATGTAAAATCGGACGAAAATATATATGGAAGCTAAATGGTGCCCCATTTACATAAAATCTCGAAACTTGGCACACGTCATTCTAGACTCAATTTAGTACTCTATGCAAGATTTTGAACAAATCGAAAGATATATAAGGACTTTGGTACACCATTTACATAAAATCGGAGGAAAATATATATGGGAGCTATATCTAAATCTGAACCGATTTTCAGGAAACTTAGCACACGTCATTCTGGACCTAATTCAGTACACTATGCAACATTTCGTGCAAATCGAAAGATATATAGGACTTTGGTGCACCATTTACATAAAATTGGACAAAACTATATATGGGAGCTATATCTAAATCTGAACCGATTTTCACGAAACTTAGCACACATCATTCTAGGCTCAATTCAGTACGATGTGCCAAATTTCGGGCAAATCGAAGAATATGTAGGGCCTTTGGTGCACCATTTACATTAAATCGGACGAAACAATATATGGGAGCTATATCTAAATCTGCAAACCATAGGGTGAGGGTAAATATCTGTCGGCAACGCCGAATGACACTTTTTTACTTGTTAATATATAACGTCAGGGTATACTTTTACAAATCTGGACTTTTTGGGAATAAATTGTTGTTTTTTTTTTTAATTTTTTAGGGGAAATTTTGGGCGGAAAAAAATTTCGCGAGCAGCAACTCTGGATACCATCTGTATTTTGTTTTTTTCAAAATAGTCAGTTTGAAACCCAGTTTGTTGTTTTTATAAGAAACAACTATTTCTTCGTGGGGAATGTATGGCATTGTCCGCCGAGGGGTAAGACAAGGAAGACTATAGTTTCGGATCTCGCCACTGATCGTCATATCTTCTGGGGATATTCTCCCCAGAAGATATTTATTGCTTCTTTACAAAAAACCTTTCATACCCAAATGCCTCTTGAGACAATTCGAAGTTCTTACGTTACCAGCGATTCGACATCAATGAGAAGTTAGTTTCGTTGGTGCCTGACTTCGTGGTCAACAAGGCATTTGCCGACAACTACAATACATTTCCCACTGCTATGTGTCGTCACTTTGTGACGAATGCATATAACGTTGTTGTTGGTATTGCTTTTGGCCCTTGAAAAATATTTTTCTTTAAACCCACGTCTCTTTTTCATAAAAAAAATTTAATTTTTTAATTTTTTGGCCCTCGAAAATGGTTCATGTGGGGTTTTGAGATTGTTTCTAATCCTCACCCCTAAAAATATTATTTAAATAATCCACGCATCTCAGTGGCCCTTAAAAAGTAAAATATATTTTTTAATCCACGTCTCTATTCAGTCCTTGTACAATTTTGTTTTAGATCGCCGCATCTATATAGACACTATAATTATTATTATTAATTATTTATGCAAAAAAATATCTATACAATTTGCCACGAAATTAAAATAATTATCAATTATGAGGAATGTTATTATTAAATTTAATTGGAGATGGCAAATTATGTGTGTCAGTCGTACAAGATATACTCATACATAGCCAGTAAAACAAAAACAATGCCAATTGAAATTAGTTTGATACACCAACACACTCGACATACATCAGACACAGTAACATAATTCTCAAATGATCTATCCGACAATTTCCAGAGTTTGAAATAAAACTCAAAGCAAAGAAAAAAAAAAGAACAGCAGAAAAACAATGACGGATGATGACGTGATGAGCACGTTGATCACGACACCAACAATGGTGATAATGATGATGTTGCACAAAACTAAAACCGAAACCGCATAGATCCATCCATTCATCCATCAAATCACCTCTTAGATATTACGTCCCCTCACACTACACATACACACAGACATTGTGGACCCAACCCAGTTGAAGTTGAGACGATGACGAACGTAGAAGAAGAAAAAGTTATTGTATTACAAATTAAGCTTTGCCAATCGAAGTGATCAAATGTTACAAATGATCACAACAGGCATATTCGATGAAGGTGGACGCTGAAGTGGCAAACAAAGTAAATCAACAAAAAAGTACCAGGGAGGCCCAACACACCTTAAAGGAGATTATGACACAAAAGACAATCTCATCATTACTCTGATCATCTTGGGCGTGTAGATGTTGAAGCACACAGCTGCTGCAATATGAAGATGCAACACAGATCATAAAGCTCTAGTTTCCCCCACTTGACATCGACAACAATTTAACACAAAGAGAGAGAGAAAGAGAGTGAGGGGTAGAACAAGAGAAGATCATAAAAATGTAACAAAACCAACCACGACTCATCGTTTTGGTTATTAAGGTCACATAAATGGTCACATACATTTTTCCGAAGAAACTCATCTCAAAGATGGAATGAGAGGAGGAATAAATGAATGCAGCCAGTAAACATAATTCCTAACACTGTGGCCTCCGCTATGGATCGGACCATAATTGTTGGTCATAAAAAACGAGGTGTTAAAACTGAAATGGTCGTCTAATGAAAAATCTCAAAATGAATTTCAAGAGATGTGGAAATGTTGTAATAAAAAACCAGTGAGCGGAGCACTATAGTCGGACGGGGCCGACCATATGATACCCTACACAACTTCCACGAAAATGTTGTGATGTTCGGCTTTCAATTGTGGCATATAGATCGACTCGAAAAAAAACACAAAAAAATTAAGTTTTGCGGTCCACCTCATCCCGATATTATTATCTGATAATCACCGAAAATTAAAGACGTTGTCCTCGACCATACCTGGATTCTTATGGAAAATTTCAAAGCGATCAGCGCTATATTTCGCCCTCTAGTGTGGTAATGAGTAACTAAATACAGGGTTGCCCATATTCGACGGACCCATCTGGCAACGCCATGACTTTTGACAGAGATGTCACATCGCTTAATGACATACCGCGTTTGAAGCGTCAGTCCAAGCAGATTTTTACCATTAACCAATACACGCCACGCGAGCGCTCTGAATTGAAGTTGTAGTTGTAGTTGGAATTTACATTCAACAGAAGAAGTCAATTGCTTTTAAAACATTAAAAAATGTGAGAAGTGCGCCTTCTAAGAACACCATTAAGCGTTTATACGAAAAATTTTCATTAAAAAATGTGAGGAGATCGTGCTGCCGTACGAGCCAGTGTTGAGAGGTCCCCAAGAACATCCCAAAAACGCTGTTCTCAGCAGTTGGGCATGGCTCGGTCCACTCCAACTCAACATGCTTTTAAAACATTAAAAAATGTGAGAAGTGCGCCTTCTAAGAACACCATTAAGCGTTTATACGAAAAAAATTTTCGACTGGTAAGGCTCTTCCTAATCCGAAGAGGCCATATAAAAGTCGACCTAGGGAATCGGCCGAGAATATCGCAGTGTTGAGAGGTCCCCAAGAACATCCCAAAAACGCCGTTCTCAGCAGTTGGGCATGGCTCGGTCCACTTTACAACGGATTATTCGCATTGATTTGCATTTTTTCCCGTACCAAATTCAATTGACGCAAAGAATGTTGCTGCGGACAAGCCTCGTCGATTGGAATGGGCCCAAAGAGTCGTCGAAATGGCCGAAGATGACGAGCAATTTTGGAACAAAATTATCATGTCCGATGAAGCCCATTTCACATTGAATGGGATCGTAAATAAGCAAAATTGCCGTTTTTACGCCACTGAAAATCCTCAGGAGATTCAAGAAGTGCCTCTTCATGACGAAAAAGTCACAGTTTGGTGCGGCGTTAAAAACGGTCATTGGGCCGTTTTTCTTCCAAAATGAAAATGACCATGCTGTTACCATCAATCAGGAGCGTTATCGCGACATTTAGACCAATTTTGTGATGCCAATTATTCGTCGAAAGCGTATGAGGCAGTTCTGGTTTCAACAAGACGGCGCTCCACCGCACACAAGTCGCATAACAATCGATTTTCTGAAAAATTTGTTTCCGGGCCGTTTGATGTCGAAAAGTTGATTTGGACTGGTCACCGCGTTCGCCCGATTTGACGCCGCCTGACTTCTTCTTGTGGGGATATTTGAAGTCAAAGGTTTACGTTAACAAGCCAAGGACCGTAGAAGAGCTCAAG